ATTTCATTCTATTCATTTATTTATTTCCAATTTAGCGAAACTTTTATTTTAATTTCATTCCATCCATTTATTCATTTCCAATTTAGCGAAACTTTTATTTTAATTTCATTCTATTCATTTATTTATTTCCAATTTAGCGAAACTTTTATTTTAATTTCATTCTATTCATTTATTCATTTCCAATTTAGCGAAACTTTTATTTTAATTTCATTCTATTCATTTATTCATTTCCAATTTAGCGAAGCTTTTATTTTAATTTCATTCATTCATTTCCAATTTAGCGAAATTTTTATTTCGTTTCATTTATTTTCTGCACTTTATTTTTTATCTTTCTCTTTTGCCAATAAATTTTATAATCGAAAAATTTTTTAAATTAATAAATTTAAAAAAAAAAAGAATTATTTTTTCTTCTTTTTACGACAAATAAAATGTTCGCCATATTTCGATTAAATTAGTAAGAAATTTAATGATTTTGAAAAATTGAATTATTGCATACAAATTATTTATTTGAAATATTTTTTGGTAAAATAATTTTGAATTGTCGCAGTTATGACACCTTTCTTAATTTCCAATTGATGTTTTTCTTAATGCCACCTTTCTTAATTTCCAATTATTATTTTCCTAATGTCTTCTTTCTCAATTACCAATTATTATATCATTTCTAATTTCTAATTATTATATTTTCCAATTATTATATTTTTTTCCTTCTTAATTTCCAATTATTATTTTTCTTAATTTCCAATTAATTTTCGTAACAAGAAGAATTTGAAATTGTAACTTTTCAACATGCTTGTAATAGTTCCTTTAATCTCCAGTCCTAAATTACATTTTGTATGTTCAAATCTTAATATGTTTGAAATTTTAATTTATTTAAATTTTATTAACAACAAATATTAGATAATCGATAGCACAGCAGTTTCCTTTCCTTTGATTATCATATTCTATCATCCAAGTAATTAAAGTTTTGGCGAAAATGTAAGTGATATTTCAAATGGCAAAATCTAACGAAATCTCGTTTTAGCATGCAATTTCCAACAGCAAAACTTCTTATCACCGGAATTTTTGTGGTACTTGGAGGTGGATTTAATTTTGGTTTTCAAGTATCAATTATCAATCCGTTGGGTAAACCGTTGCAACAATTTTTAGCACAATCTTTGGAAAGGTTATATGACTTTTAGTGGTTTCTTTCTTTTTGGCAGATAATATTTGTTATTACAATAATTGGCAAATCATACATTATTAATTAATATTAATGAATTTGAATCAAATTAAGCTTATTATTTCAAACTTAAAACTTTTAAAATTTTTTGAAATTTCAATTTTACAATTTATGGTAAGCTATTAGTGAAATTTAGCACAGCATTTTATTTATCTCTTCAACAAAAGGATGATATCAGTCAGCAATTTGGAGATAATTTAAAAAAACTAGCATTCAAAAATGAGTCATTCAAATAAGAACTGTCGAGATTAGCCCATCTGAAGGCTATCATTTATTACCAATACTTATTTCACAAAAGAGCACTTATTTTGTAAATAACTTCAACTTATCAAAACCGTTCGTGTTAATATTTCGTCAAAATTAGCTGCCTAAAATTCAATTATCTAAAAATGATATTCAAACTATCAATCAAATTAATCAAATTAATCAAAAGTCATTCAAAAATTAGCTGTTTGAAATTTATCGAATCAATTTATCAAATTGATTTTTTGCCTCATTTTATCAATCATTTATAACATCTAATCTAACTATTATCAGTCTTCATATCAATAACCAAAGTTTTTAAAAAATATTTCATCAACAGTATCGTAAAGTATTATGTGCTTGATGATTTTTTTCACTATCACTGAATTAATTTAAAGTTAATGAAATTAATCAATTTGGAATTATTTCCTTATCAAAATATTTATAAAATTAAGCTTATCACGATTATTTCTTAATTAAAATACTTATTAAATTAAACTTGCCAATTATTTTCTCCGATATTTTCTTCATATTTGATAGTATTTATAGCCGTTATGATATAAAATTTTCGGAATTATCAATACGATTATTTTGGTCATTTGTTGTTGGCATTTTATTCGTTGGTGCGATTATTGGTGCTACAGTAATACCAACGGTAATTAATCGTATTGGATCGCGACGATCATTTATTATTATTGGAATTGTTGGTTTTTATTTTCAATTTCTGGTGATCATTTTTTAAATGAAATATGAATAATGTGCTATTTCTACAACCATTCAAATAATCCGGAAATCGGAACTATGATATATACAATAAATTATATATATCGGATATATATCGTGTATATTTGAACAATGTATCTATAAACCATTATTTCCGATACTTAACCATCGGAAATGAAAGCTAAAAACCTTGCTATAGCAATTTTGAAAAATTAACTGATTGCATCCTTACTTATTTGACATGTTATAGATATGTTGTATTTTATTTCCACATAGTAATCAATAATATATCTGAAGCGTTTAGCAATATTAATGATTGGAAATATGATATCAAATTTTAATTTAATACTCTTTTTAGTGTCTTAATTCAATAACTTAATTTTCTCATAAATAATTTATTTTAATTTAGATTCATAATTCCGTGAAAAACAATTTTTAATTCTAACGAATTATGCTTCAACTTTAGTGTAATAGCATTATTTGAGTGCCGTTCTTTTTTAATTAAAATTTTTATTAATTAAAATTTATATCAATAAAATTATTAATTTTAGTTAATGATTATTGCTCTTTTCTTTTCTCCCTTATCACAATATACAAATATTGCGGAATTATTTATTCTTTCACGATTTATCGTTGGTATTTGTATTGGTATGTGTACAACTGTACAAGGTGTATTTTTAACTGAAATTAGTCCAGGTAATTTAGCACGAATTTATTGAATTTATTGAAAAAATTCATAACTTATTTTACAAGTAATAGAACTACAATATATACTTTAAATGGTTATTTTTCTCTTTTAGTTTTTGCAATTTGCAATAGATTTACTACAAATAATTAAATACTAATTTATCGATTAAAATTTAATTCTTTTTCAAAAAATAATCAAAACAATTTTTCAACTTATTTTTGTTAAGCAAAAATGTTTTATCCTAAAATTGTTTAATGTATAACAATGGTACCTTTTTCCTTCATACCTAAATTTCATTTCATTTCTCGATTATTTATATTTTTCGATCAATACATTCCATTTTTCGATCAATTTTCTCCTTAAATTTCATTTCATTTCCCGATTAATTATATTCATTCGCATAATAAATTTTGCATAATTTAAATAGCAAAATTTATTTTTTCAAAAAAAATTTTTCAATCAATAAACTTTGTCTTATTTCTTCTTCTTAATTATAATAATTAAAAATTTCAAATAATATATATTTTATGAATTAAAAAAGTGTCACAATTTTGGAAGATAATTTGTCCCATTGTCACATAATTTTATATTTTTCGAAATAAATAATATTTTTTTTTAAGAAACAAAATTTGTGTTATCATTTTAATCGCTTAATTCTATGATATGATGTGATAGAGATATTATCATATCATATCATATCATAGAGAGATATGAATTAATTCTATCATATCATAAGAATTAAGATCAGACATTTTTAATTTATCCATTTTCCATTTCTACATTTATTTTTCTCATTTGTTTTTTTTCATAGTTTGTTTTCGTGGCCTAATGGGTACATTAACTGGCCTATCCACTAATATTGGTGCATTGCTTGCATCGATGATTAGTTTGCCACAAATTTTTGGTACCAATAATTTATGGCCATATGGTTATTATATGGAAATGATACCATGCTTAATGCTTATATTCTATGCTATTTTCTTCCTTCATGAAAGTCCATTATATTTTTTGAAACGAATGGATGAAAATGCTGCAAAAAAGGTCTATGAATTTTATAATGGAAAGAATGAACAAACTGAAAGATTGCAAATACAACAAAGGAATGAAAATGAAATAAAAGAAATTAATTGGATGAAACTTTTGCATGACAGGTTATTTTCATTATATTCATTATTATAAATTTTTAATCGTAATTAATTTGATAATTAAAATATGATAAATTGATATTGTACGTATTTACCTGATTTACAAATTAACCTTTCATATATTTATATAATAGCTATTTGAAATAAAAATATTTTCGAATTAAGAAAGATTTTATGAAAATTTTTGAATGAATTAAAAGAATTATAAAAATTTAAGATAAAAAGATTATATAATTTTTGCTTCAAAAAAAAATATTATAAATTATAAATTATAGTTTTATTATATCATATCAGCCATGTTACTACTATATAAAATGTTTCAAAAGAAATATAATGCTAAAATATAGCAGAATTGATTGATTTTTTGAAATTGGAATTGAAATTGATTTTTTGTGATAATTTTATTATATCATATCAGTCATATTAATACTATATAAAATATTTCGAAAGAGGAATAATGTTAAAATATAGCAAAATTGATTTTTTGTAATACTTTTATTATATCTTATCAGTTATATTAATATTTCGAAAGAAGTATAATGTTAAAATATAGCAAAATTGATTGATTGAAATTGATTTTTTGCTTCTTCAGAAAATTTAAAATAATTTGCTTTAGTGTTATTTAAGAATTAGTAAAATTTATTTAAATGGAATATAAAAAAAGAAGAGAATATTTTAGAGCAGCTAGTAGAGCGTTATATCTCTCAATACTTTTGAATTGTACGGTAAGCTTTAGTGGTATTGTTGCAATGGCATTTTTTGGTACAATTCTTCTTAGCTCAACTGGTTTTACACCAACCGGTGCATCATTGGCAAATTTTCTTGCCGGATTTGCTGGTACCATTGGAATTCTTATTCAAGCTATTACCATTGATAAGGTTTTTACTTCATTTTTAAATTATTTAAAAATGATCAATGAAAATGTATTCCTTTTTCTTTTGTTGCAACATTTAATAGAATCCTAAAATTTTCTTTTTGTTTTCTTTTATTAAAATTTAATTAATGAATTAAAATAATTTTTTTAACATTATGTAAAATAACGTGTAATCAATTTCTTATTATTATCATTTTCTAACAAAAATACTATTATCTATCAATGATATTTGTTCGATAGAGGAAGTATTTTAATTAATTATAAATTCATTTAATTTAAATATTGAAAATAATTAAATAAAAGGAATGGTTCAATTTTTTTTGTTTAGATTGGACGCCGTTTTTTGCTTCTTGGAAGTTTGATTAGCTTAACGGTGGTAAATATTGGAATGATGATATTGATTTGGACCTTTCAACAATATCGCTACACCTGGCTTGGCTATTGTTTTCTTTTTCTCTTTGCATTATTCTTATTCCTTTTTAGGTTTGCTAATTTTACATGATGATTGTAAATTGTTGAATTGCTATCAGTGTAATTTTAAGGTTCTGCTTTTTAAAAATAAATGATATAAATTGTTTTAATCAAATTTATTGAAAAATTAGTACTGCTATTATGCTAAATTGTTACTAATGCAAGTTTAAGGCCTTAAAATTAATTGTTCTGTTTGGATAGGCATTTTTGAATTTTTACCATTTCAAGATCTTGCAATTAATTATTATTATTAACTATGATTATTAAGATTAATTGAATTGTTACTCGTGTAAGTTTAAGGTCTTAAAACTAATTATTCTGTTTGGGTAGGCATTTTTGAATTTTTGCTATTTCAAGATTTTGCAATCAATTATTATTATTAACTAAGATTATTAAGATATTTCAAATAATATTGTAAGAGTAATTCTTGATACTAATAATGCTAATTTTTTAATTAATAAAAATTTGACTAAATCAATTAAATATCACTTACCTTTTAGTAATGGATTTATATTTTAAAAATTACACAAAATAAGATTTAACATTTTTTTTTAAATAAATTTTATTCTTATCTTCAGTATTGGTATTGGTCCAATTGCATGGTTTATTGCAACCGAATTAGCTGAACCACGCTTTCGTGCTCAACTTCAATCATTATCTATTTCGGCACAATATATTACCTGTTTTTTATGTCCTATTATTTACCTACCATTGGAGGAATTAATTGGACCATTTAGTTTTCTCATTTTTATCATTCCACTAATCACTACAACATTTGTCTTCTATTACTGCATGCCGGAAACTCGTAATCGTAATTCGGAAGTAATTCATCGTTTGTTGGAAGGCAAAAATTAACACTGAAAAGTGTTTTTTAAATAAAATATATTTTTCCTTTATTTCAACAATTCATTAATTTTCTTTTGTTTCAATTATTGTATGCTATAATATGTTCAGTAAATTTCTGACTCATTTGATTACGTTAGTATTATCAATTGTTTGATAATGTTAAATGTTTCAAAACAAACCGTAATGATAGTATTGGATATGATGTATTGACCGGATATATGGAATGATATTATCAATTGTTTGATAATGTTAAATGTTTCAAAACAAACCGTAATGATAGTATTGGATATGATGTATTGACCGGATATATGGAATGAATAAAATTGGAATAACTCTCCTTGTTATCTATCATTTATTCCATTAGGCGATAGACTTAATGTAAATTAATATCATTATTCGATATGCTAATCGTCCATTATCGATAAATAGATGTAATTCACTGAATAACCAAATTATTACCCCGACTCGACTATATTCTAATAAATTCAATTTTGTAGTAAAAGTATTTAAGAAATCCAACTTTGGTATCAAAAATAATAAATTGATTTTATAAATTTATAACAGAATAAGGATCGTATCAACGAGGAGTTATATAAGAATTTATATACTGTATAATGAATTTATATATAATGAACTTATGTAATGAATTTAAATGAATTTATATAATGTATAAATGAACTTATACAATGTATATAAGAATTTATGAACCATATAATGAATTTTTAAATGAATTTATATATAATAAACTTATGTAATGAATTTAAATGAACTTATATAATGCATATAAGAATTTATATACTATATAATGAATTTATATATAATAAGCTTAAATAATGAATTTATATATAATAAACTTATATAATGAATTTAGATGAACTCATTTAACGTATATAAGAACTTATATACTATATATACTGAATTTAAATAATGAATTAAAATAAACTTATATTTTAGCACTTTTTTCCCTAAATTAATATCGAATATTCAAATATCAAATTTGAATGATTTTCTTTTTCTCTATCTTTTTCTCTAAAAGTGTAAGAGAAAAAAACAAATGGGAGAAACAAGAAAGTAAAGGAAAAATGATTAACTTTTAAAGAGATGAAAGAGAGAAAAAAACAAATCAAAGTAATAGAATTTCATAATAAACAATAAAGAAAAAAATTAATGAAAAAGACAAAAAAAAAGGAAGAGAAAGTTTGGATGGAAAATAGCATTTGAATAAAACGAAAAAGAATAAATTAAATAAATTCATACAATTTTTTCCTTTTTTTCTCATTCCTCTCTTCTTCTTCTTCTACTATTTTCAGAATAAAGCGAACTTTTTTTTGCTTTTTAAATTTAAATTTCAAATTTTAAATTCAAAAAAATTTTTTCTCTCTTTCTCTTACTGTTTAGATATGTATATTTGTATATAGAAAATTAAATTATAAATGCCTTCTTCTTTTAAATTTATTTTAGGCCATGCAATTTTCATATTTTGAATGCATTGAAATGCTTATAAATTTTATTGTCTTTTATTTATTTTATTATATTTTTTATTATTATAAATTTTTTGAAGCATTTATGATAGGAATACTTCCACTCATCAATTCCTTCAATAATTTGTTTTTTATTTATTTGTATATTTGTTTATTTCTGTTAATTTCAACAATTTGTTTTTATTTTATTTGTTTGTTTTATTCGTCCATTTATATTTATTTATTTATTTATTTATTTGTTCATTTCAGCAATTTGTTTTCATTTTATTTATTTATATGCCTATTTCTGTTAATTTCAACAATTTGTTTTCATTTATTTATTTATTTGTTCATTTTAACAGTTTTTTTATTTATTCATTTATTTGCCTATTTATTCATTTATTTATTTATTTACAATTTATTTTTATTTCGTTGTTTATTTACTTATTCATCTATTTATTTATTTCTTCATTTATTCATCGATGTTTGTTTTTGCTTTCGAAGTACTTTGGTAGAAGAAATACTTTAATGAAACAATTCCTTCAATAATTTGATGAAAAACAATCATTAAAAATTTATATGCTTTATTAAAAAACATATATATATATAAATAATATTGGAAATGGAATTGAAAATAGGAAATGAATGACATGAAGAATTTTCTATCAATCAAAGAGAAGATAATAAGAAAAAAACAAAAGAAAGATATTGAGAGAAAGGAAGAGGGAAAGAGAAAGTGAACCTTATTTTTATTAGCACAAAAAGATCAGTACGAAGAAAGAGGAAAGTAGATATAGTAGGAAATGAAGAGATAAAAAGAGAAAGAGTAGTGTTAAAATTTTTTTCATTTATTAATTTATTATCAAATCATCGTTCTAGGCCACATATTGAGGCATTTCAAAATTTTAATCATCTCACAGCGTTTGTTTATCATTGATAGCTAATTATCAATCCAATATTTTTCCTTCATAAAAATTATTATTTCATATTTTTTTATCAGTTCATATATTTTTATCAATTTGTATTTTCTCCTCCATAAAAATTATCATTTCATATTTTTTTATCAATTCTAATTTTTCCTTTCATAAAAAATTATCAATTCATATATTTTTTTCCTTCATTGACTAAAATAGATCTTTCGTTCTTTGTTTTTCCTCGTATTATTATTGCTCGTATTATTATTGCTAATTAGCTAATCATGTGAAATATTCGGATGAATCACAATTTCATTCGTTATCATTCATTTCTCTTCTGTCCACTTCTCTTCCGTCCACTTCTCTTCTGTCCACTTCCCTTTTGTTCACTTCTCTTCTGTTCACTTCCCTTTTGTTCACTTCTCTACTGTCCACTTCTCTTCTGTCCACTTCCCTTTTGTCCACTTCTCTTCCGTTCACTTCTCTTCTGTCCATTTCTCTTCTGTTCATTTCTCCTTTGTCCACTTCTCTTCTGTCCACTTCTCTTTGGTCCACTTCTCTTCTATCCACTTCTCTTTTATCTAATATCCAAAAATATCTCTTTTATTTTCTTTCTTTATATTTTTTTATCATTTCATATATCAATAATATTATTATTCACTCTCACATATTCTATACATATACACGTATGTATGGAATGAATATAAATATTTCATTGAAATAATTCAAAATTTATTTGAAAAAGGATAATATAAAATGGCTAAGAAAGGAAATGAAAATATTTTTGCGAATGAATAAAATCCATTCTTTCTTTTTGCAAAATCATTTCTTTTTCATAAATTTGCATTTATAATTATGTCACAAAATATTTTCTTACTTTTTTGCAGCATTTGAAAAAAATAAATAAATAAATAAATAAATTATGAAATAAACAAATTAAAAAAAGAAAATAAATAAATAAATAAATAATTGAAAAAAGAAAATAAATAAATAAGTAAATAAAAAATTGAAAAAAAGAAAAGAAATAAATATATATAAATAATTGAAAAAAAAAGAGAATAAATAAATAAATTATGAAATAAACAAATTCCTAAAATTCCCTTATTGATTTTTAAGCGAGCAAAAAGAAGGAAGAGAATTTCATACATAACTAAGTGCTATTATGCTAAATTGAATTACTATTTTTGAAATAAACAAAAAAGGTAAACAATTCATCCTAATTGAAAGAAAGGTAAAAGAAAAAGAGAAATTCGATTCCTATTTATTTTTTACAAAATTTTCAAAATTTCATTTAAAAATTATTCAAAATGAAATTTTGAAATTTCACTGAAATTAGTTGAACTCGTTTGAAAGAAATGAAAAATAAAACTTAAAAATTTAAATACGAATATTTTCATTATTTAATAAATATAGCAAAAGTATTTTGGATTTCTTTTAATTTTCGTTTATTAATTCGTCTCCGTTTTGATATTTAAATTTTTATCAAATTTATCAACGATAAAAACATGAAAAAGGAAAAATGTACTATAAACTATGCAATTTGTCAACAACAACAAAAAGCATTACTATGCTATTTATTCTTAAGTTTTCTTTTTTTTTTTTTCAAAAGAATAATTTTTATTTGTCAACAACAACAACAACAAAAAGCATTACGATGCTATTTATTCTTATGTTTCAAATAAGTTAATTTTTGATCTATTGTAATAGATAAACAAAAATATTATGATCGTAACCTAATTTACAACCTCTGTTATTTCATTTCATTATAAATTCTTTTATTGTGTACATTTTTTGAGATATTTCAATTAAAACCTTAAAATACTAATTTTTCTTTCTTTTTAATTTTTAAATTTAATTTAAAATTTGTAAAATTTCTCGATTTTTACCATTTTTCATCGTTTTTTTTTTTTCCATTTCTTTCTAATTTTTTTGCATAACAGACATTCTTTTTTGTTTTAATTTACACTTCAACTAAATTAAAATATGCACCAAAAAGAAAATAAGTCTGTCAATTATTTGAAGTGAAAAATCTAATTCTAACTGTCTATCAAATTCTTTTTATTACTATTTCATGAAATGGGGAAAAAAAACTTTTCGAAATATTTCATTTAAATTTTAATTTCAAAATCATAGTTAATCAATAAATTTGATCAATTATCACAGTTAATCAATAAGCTTGATCAATTATCACAGTTAATCAATAAGCTTGATCAATTATCACAGTTAATCAATAAGCTTGATCAATTATCACAGTTAATCAATAAATTTGATCAATTATCACAGTTAATCAATAAATTGACCGATTATGATTTTGAAATTAGAAATAATTAAAAGAATTAAATTGCTTATTTAAATTGAAATATCAAATTGATAGATTTTTTTGTTGTGTGTAATTATCGAAATATTAATCAATCAATAAGCTTGATCAATTATCACAGTTAATCAATAAATTTGATCAATTAACACAGTTAATCAATAAATTTGATCAATTATCACAGTTAATCAATAAGCTTGATCAATTATCACAGTTAATTAATAAATTTGATCAATTATCACAGTTAATTAATAAATTGACCGATTATGATTTTGAAATTAGAAATAATTAAAGGAATTAAATTGTTTACTTAAATTGAAATATCAAATTGATAAATTTTTTTTTCGTTGTTGCTACTATCGAAATATTAATCAATCAATAAAAATTTGATCAATTATGATTTTGAAATTAGAAATAATTAAAAGAATTAAATTGCTTATTTAAATTGAAATATCAAATTGAAAAAAATTTTTATTTGTTGCTGTTATTTGAGTGAAGAAAAATGAAAGATGGAAAAGAACGATATATGAGATTTAATTGAAGAGAAATGTAATCATAGCCAATAAAATAGGATGAAAATGATCGCTTAATTCCCGATGGAATAATATAGCAAAAATAGCAAAAGGCCTCTCTCACTTATTTCTTTATATTTTTATATTCGAATTGAAAGGCCTAAAATCAAAGGAAAAATTTATGCCTTCGATTGTTTTTGGCTATTTTATAAACATAACCAATTTTTGTTTTTTATTTTGATTTAAAATTTAAAAATTAAAATAAAACAAAAAAAAAAGCATAAATACAAAATAATTTTTATCAAAAACAAATTTTTGATAATTTTTATTAATTATTTTATTGATATTTCAAATTAATATTTCAATTGTTTCTTCGATTGTTTTTTTTTTTCATTAATTAATTTGTAAGAAATGGAAAAAATTCTTTTTCCTATAACAAATGAATATTTGAAATGGAAATTTTTAATCAAATATATATGTGTGTGTGCTCAATTTCGAATATATAATTATATACTTGAAATGGAAATTTTTTTAAAATAATTATACATATAATTGATATATGTGTACATCTGTGTGTGTGTGTGTGTGTGTGTGTGTGTGTATGCATGTGTGTGTGTGCATGTGCATGCGTGTGTGTGCATGTGCATGTGCGTGTTTGTGCATATGCGTGTATGTGCATATTGTTCATGTGCGTGTGTGTGTTGTGTGTGCATGTGCATGTGTGTGCATGTGCATGTGTGTGTGTGTGTGCATTTGCATGTGTTGTGTGTGTGTGTGCATGTGCATGTGTGTGCACATGCATGTGTGTGTGTGTGCATGTGCATGTGTTGTGTGTGTATGTGTGTTGAATTATGTTAATTTTGCCGTAGAAATATTACTAGTTTATATTTTAGTTTTATTTTATTTATTTCTGAATAAACATAAAATTTTCAAATTCACTATTTAAATATATACCTAACAAATATGCAAATATATATATATATAATTGAAATGGATATTTTTAATCAAATATATATGTGTGCTTGTGTGCGTGTGTTTTGTTAATTATGTTAATTTCGCCAGAGAAATATTACTAATTTATATTTTAGTTGAAATTTTAATTTTACTTCACTTATTTCTGAACAAACAAAATTTTCAAATTTAATATTTAAATGAATAAAAGCAAAAAAATAAAGTAAAATATTTATTCATTTAAACTGAAAATAAAATTAATTATATTTTCAATATAAAACTGTGAAATAAACAAAAACAAAAAAAGGTAAACAAAATTTATTTATTTATTTTTTTAATAAATAAAAAATTTTATTAAATTTCAAACAATAAGTCGCTTTCTTTTCTTTTGTTTTAAAATTAAATTGAAAACAAAATTAATTATATTTTTCATATGAAACTATGAAATAAACAAAAATAAAGAAGGAAAACAAAATTTATTTTTTTGATAAATAAAAAATTTTAAATTTTGAACATTTCTTATAATCATCAAATTTCTTTTAGCATACATAATATGGACAATTTAAAGGAGAGATGACAAATGGCTTCCTATAATCAAATGGATATGATTGATGATGTCCTCTTCCCACATTTAATGAACATCATAATTCTATTCGTTAGATATCTTATTGATGATGTCTATATATTGAAAAATTCCGGATCATTTCAATTCAGTGTATTTTGGAATAATTTTTTATTAGATATCTTATTGATGTCCATATATTGAAAAATTCCGGATAATTTCTCATTCCGGAACATTTCAATTCAGTGTATTTTGGAATAATTTTTATTTTTGAAAAAGAATTCAATCCGAAAAATTTGAGTTATTTTTAAAAAAATAGCTCTTATTTTGAAAATAAAAATTTTTTTTTCAACATTACTCAATCATTTCTTCTTCCTTTTTTACTTCAAAATCATCTTATTTACATTAAATTCAGAAAAAATTCCGGATCATTTCCAAACGACAGGATAATTTCTCATTCCGGATCATTTTCAAAAATAAATCATCCATTTTTAGCCAAAAATTAATTGTTGTTAATCAATCAAAAATACGTTGTTTACTTTTTGTCTAATATTGATGCAATCAATTTATTTATTTATTTATTTCAAAATTGAAGTGGGCCAATTTAATTATAACCTAATGCTATCATGCTTATCTTATCTGTTTTTATCAATTTTAATCTTTTTTGAGAAAAAAAAAACTTTTTATCTCTTCTTCTACTATTGTTTATTATTATTATTATTATTTCGATCATTCTCTCCAATTCTCTTTCATTCATTAATTAAATTTAAAATTTTAAAATAATAAAAATAAAACGATTTTTTTAAAATTAAATAACATATAGCTCGATCGTTTCTTTTCCTTTAATTTTAACAACAAAAATATTTGTGAAAATATTTAATTTTAAATTAAAATTATCAAATAATTATTAAGTAATTTAATTTTAAATTAAAATTATCATATAACAATTATCAAGTAATTCAGTTTTAAATTAGCATTATCAATTAATATTTAATTTTAAATTAAAAATGTCATATAATTTATCAAATATTTTAAATTTAAATTAAAATTATCAATTAATATTCAATTTAAAATCAAAATTATCAAATAATTATCCAGTAATTTAATTTTAAGTTAGAACTATCATATAATAATTATCAAGTAATTTAATTTTAAATTAAAATTATCAATTAATATTTAATTTTAAATTAAAATTATCAAAAAATATTTAATAACAAATGGCTATGCCTTTTCTGTTATTTTTAGCATCAAAAATATTTGTGATAATATTTAATTTTTAAAATGAAATTATCAAATATTTTGTTAAATGATAAATTATCAATAATTTTTACTATCAAAAATTTCTATGATAACAAAAATGTGTGATAAGATAAGGAGCATTTTTGAAAACTTTAAAAAATATATTCAAAAAAAAAGGATTGAACAGTATATTAAATATTATTTTCCGGTTGGCTTCTTCTTTTTCTATTATCATTTTCCGGTTGGCTTCTTCTTTTTCTATTATTATTTTCCGGCTGATTTCTTCCTCTCTTTTCTATGATAAAAATTTTTTGTATTATCCGGAAATTGTAATCAAATCACTACATTTTCCTGCAACTGTAAAATTATTTGTTTGCATTAGAAATTGTTAGTTGAAAATGTTTACCGTTGAAAAAAAAGGTGAAGAAAAACAATTGAGTTTAAATTTTAGTTATCGATTATTTCAATTATTAAATAATAATTTTATTTTTTAAATTTTAAATTTGAATAACTATTCTTACTTATATTCTCTCTTTTCTTTACTTACATTCTTTCTTTTCTTTTCGATTTTCAATTATCAATTAAAATGCCAATTTTAGGCCTTATATCATTTCAGATATCTTCTAAAAGCAAGAAATAACGATTATTCATGCTAATTTTAGGCTTTATTTCATTTCAGATATCTTCTAAAAGCAAAAATAACGAATATTCATGCCTAAAGTTTGTTGCAGTTCCTATTTGATTAAAAATATATATATGTATAATAAATATATGAATAAATGAATCAGAGGGGCTGGCTGGTTGCATTAGACGAAATGAATTCATTTCTTCCAAATTCTTCGATTGACGAAAAAATAGGAATAAAAAACACTTAAACATTCCTGTTGCTTAAAATTAAAAAAATGCATGCCATCGTTGAACAAATAGAATTTAACAATTTACGTGCGTAGGCTTTTTAGGCCTTACATCATTTGCAATCCTATAGGCTTGTCTTTTTAGAATTAAATAAATGACGAAAAATTAAGAAAGAAAATGGTTATAATTTCTTTGAAATTTTGTTTTGCTTCTTCATCACTTTTATTCTTAATTTATCAAATGAATTATCAGTCATTTCAACTTTTTATCTTCGCTTATCATTTATCAATGCATTTCAATTTGATTTGTATTTTAATTATGCATTTTAATTAAATTATATGATAATTAAATTTTGCATTTTATTATATGAGAATTAATATGGTAATTATCATATGATGATTATTGCATTTATTATATGATTATTAAGTTTTGCATTTTAATTTAATTATATGATATTAGCATATTTAAAAGGATATTTGATGCTGATAATTGATTTCTTTTTAGTTATTTGATACTAAATTTATGATATTAAGGAGAATGAATCAAAGAAGGAGAAAAATTTTAAGTATAAACGCTATTATGAAATAACTAATTAAATGATTACAATAGTGTTAATGATGAAATAATTTAATCAATGCTATACAGCTATATATATTTGGCAAACTTTGATAACAATGATAATTAAATATAATTAAATGATTACAATAGTGCTAATGATGAAATAATTTCATCAATGCTATACAGCTATATATGTTTAGCAAGTTTTGATTGATAACAATGATAATTAAATGATTAAATTAGTGTTAATGGTGAAATAATTTCATCAGTGATACATACTATATATATTTGGCAAACTCTGATAACAATGATAATTAAATATAATTAAATGATTATATGATGTTAATGATGAAATAATTTTATCAATGATATATAGCTATATATATTTAGCAAATTTTGATTGATAACAATAATAATAAAATGATTATATCAGTGCTAATAATGAAATAATTTCATCAATGATATGATCATTATTTTCATTTGCAGGATAAGTGAAATTATGGGTCTTCAAATGTTCCAATTGCATAATAAGGTTTTAATTTTGCAATTAAACAATTTACATGCTAAATTGAATCTGAAATTACTTTTGAATTATATTAAGCAAATTTAAATTAACTGTTGAAAAATTAAATTAGAAATTGAAAATGTAATTTGTTTTGTTTTATTAATTATTTCATCATTAACACTAATATAATAGTATCTTAACATTTTTCATTTTTTTTTAAGGTAATTGATAAAATTGAAGCATCACCATGGCAAATTCGTGAAACAAATATTAGACTTGCAATTGGTTTAGCGATACTATTCTTTTATTTATTAATTGGCGCTATTGTTTTTGTACAAATTGAAAGTCCAGCTGAAAAAAATGATATGGAAGCATATCAGGAATTTCGATTACATTGGAATCGATTATTGCAAGAAGCAGGATTTAAAGGTATTTAAGTTCATGTATTTATCATTTCTTTCGAGATTTAAAGGTATATAAGTTAATATATTTACAAGCGCTTTCGGGATTTAAAAGTATTTCAGTTAATATATTTACAATTTCGAGACTTAAAAATGTTTAAGTTAATGTATTTACAATTCCCTTCCGGAATTAAAAGTGTTTAAATTAATATATTTACAATTTCCTTCCGGATTTAAAAGTATTTAAGTTAATATAGTTACAATCTCCTTCCGGACTTAAAGGTATTGTGACCTTTAGCTTTCTCTTTCAATGTTGTTTATTAATGTCCATAGAATTCCTTCGTCGTTACTACTAGTTTATATCAGTTTAAAAGGAAGTGTTAGTAATAATAAATGATATGGAAAGGAAAGGAAA